CAACTGTGCGACCATTAGAGAACCTCCCATTAGGTAGTCCATTGCCCAAATCAATACCATACCAAGGTAAACTTGCCTGAGCAAGGCTTTTGGAGAGGTACCTGTTATTTCCAACATCCGAGAGGGAGTCTCCAAAAATGAACTGCACAATCTTGTATTCGCACCCTCCAAACCCAACTCCAAAAATTATGGCTATTATAATAACTAGCACTAAATCAAACTTCATGTTTATCTAGCTAGCAAGTAGTGATCTCTTTAAGTAAGAGTCTGAGTCTAGTAAGGCTGTGAACTCTTGGGTTTGTTTTTTTATAGAAATTATGAATTTTCAAAACATGGAATGAGAATATATGCCATGGGAAACAGAGGGAAGTAGATCGATTGATAAACCAACTATTACTGATTCAAACCTACTGCAACTACCCATATCTTCTGTTAGAGTATAGCTTTGTAAGCTACGACCACATGCCTCAGCTGAAGTCATCATCTTATTATTATTATTTTGGTGTGATCAAGTCATGAATTAGTTAATGTTGGAACTTGAAAATTGAAATCTATTGGTGTGAAACACTCCTATTTTGAGGAATAAGGGTTAAGCATATTGGAGAATGGTGAATGACAAATAAGGTGATTCTATAAGTCGAATTTTCAACAAACAATTTGGATATTATTCTTGTGAATTGGTAGGGTAAGCGGGAAGCTCACCTAATTCTGCCATTGCTTGCAGAAATGAGAAACTGTATCTGAGTATAATGTTACTGTTTTTATCATTAACATGTGTGGGATCCTTGTTACTTAAATAGAGTTTGTCCGTAAAACACCCAAGATTATAGCCCAGCATCGGTCTGGTCTTTTAACAAATTAAATAAAAAAATATGATAAATTATAATTTTATAATGAAATTATACAGAAAAATAGTATTAATTTCTTTAAGAAAAATTATAAAATATATAAAAAATAATTATATATAAACAAAGGAATGAATCAAAAAATAAAAACATATTAAAATATATCTTGTTATTTCAAATTAGAAAGAATAAACTGAAAAACATGAGCCACAACCAAGGTTAGATCCTCCCCTTACTTGTGAATTTAAATTCACATTGGAAGTGTTGTGGTTAGGAGCTATCAATAATTGTGCAAATAAAAAATAAATTAGACTTAGGTTTCAGTGCATTTTTATTCTAGTTTTTCTTCTGTTTTATGGGGATTATTTGTTGTAAGGAAATCTCCATTAATTCTAACAGAATGCAAGTTTCTATCAATTTATGTAGTGAGAGGTTATTCTCCAAAGCTTCTTAAGCAGTAAAAAGAATGCTTGATTAACATTGTTTCTTTGTTTTGCACTTTTTGGATTTTGTATGATTCCCAATTTAGTCTTCTCCTCTTTCTACATGATTTTAGTTATCACCAATGATAATTGTTTTTAGTGTTATTGACATCTCTTAAACCAAAACATATTATTTTTTTTATCTTAAAAATTAATAGGTTTTGTTAACCTCAGTTTTTAGAGTTGAGTTTAAATAACTACAAATAGAAAATTTTTATTAAAAAAAGTACACAATTATTATATTGAAGTTATAAAAATATAATAAATATTTTTTTTAGTAAAATAATAATATTATTAGCTGTTTATCCTACACTTTTAAAGTTGAATGTTGAGATTAACAAAACCCAAAATTAATATATAACCTACGTAGATAAAGCAAAACATGTGTTTTTAGTCTTCATTGTAATCCAAATATAAATTAGATAAAGTTAGTCTTATAAATATAAAACGTAACACAAATTTATGTAAATAATTTAATATAAAAAATAATACATTTATAATTCATCAACATTATTAGCCTTATCAATCATAGGAATATCATTCCTACCCTCAATCCATTGCACTTTACAAATTACACCATCCATATGAAAATATCAATATGTAACAGAGTGCAAGAACCATGTAGTAGTTTCATCCTTCACAAGCAAAATAATTTTATTTTTTTTAAAAAAAGACAACAAGGCTATTTGAAAAGAAAAAAGAAAGAGAAAAACAACAAGCAATGGTAATCTAAAAGTAGTTATTTAAAAAATATTTTATTTCTTATAAACATTTATTTAAGTATACTCATCTCGTTGCGAGCAACGTTACGAGAATAATTATAGTGACCATCTAAGTGTGGTATGACAGGTGTCATAAAATTCTTATCCTCACTCATTTTGTGAATCATTCAAAGATGGTTACTTTTTATATATAAGGTCCTACGGAGTTTCTATACCAATTTGTAAAGATAGAAGTAAGACTCAACAAAGTGGAGAATGAATGTTTCACTGAAGAATAAACAAGTCTTTAAATAGACATAAAGGAAACAAAAATCTAAAGATAAGTCTAACTTAAAACTAACTTTATCCTTAAAACGGAATCCTCAAGATAAGACAACATAACAGACACAACCATTTATACATCACTATTAAGATTTTAAAAAATATTTTTTTATTTTGAAATAAATTTTTTAAAAAATATTTAAATTTTATGAATAAAATGTAGAATAATTCACATGCACATGACAGTTAGAGTCTTACACATATTATGGCTAAAGTAATATCCTTATTAATTTGCAAATCACAAACTATTTATATACTGCTATTAATAATGGTTGTGTGAACTGTAAAAGTTATTTGAGTTTTTTAAAATAAAAAATATTTTCTTTATTTATTTTGGAAAAGAAAAATTTTGTTGTGCATTAATTACTAGGTAATATAGTTAAATTAATATTTATAAAACTTTATAAGACAGGTGAATAGTAGTATAATTTATACATTCATGTTATTGTGTGAATATTTTTTATTGGCTTCTTTTGATAACAAAAATTAAAAAATTAATTTTGAAAAAATATATGGCAGTGACACATGATTTAGAAAAAAAATTTCTATAAGAAAAAGATTGTTAATTCATGATTCGCATGAATACACGCAGGTTAATACTATTTTCAGGTAACAAAAGCACGTTATAGCAACGAAAATATTAATCGTAATACAAATTATAAAAAATAAGCATGGTTCAAATTACTATTTTGATTATCTCATCTATCATCATCGGTTATTATCACACGTCTACGTAAACTTATATCATAATCCTCTTTGGACTAAAAAGAAATTAGCTATGCTGTTTCTTTTTTACTACAAATTTTGCTTATTAAATCCTTTTTGGTTTATGCTATTTTAACAATAACAATGATTCAAACAAGAAATTGTATATTCGAAAGATACAAAATGGGGGAAATTGGAGAAATAAGAAGATTTGTTTGAAAATAAAATAAAAAATGAAGTGGGCTTACGAACTGCATTGTAACGGAGATCAATTTCAAACACCAGTTCTGCTCTCTCCGTTTCATACTGCAATCTACAGTATTGTTTCTATCATTCTATCATCTGCAACATTTTTCTGAATTCCATTTATTAATTTTTTATTTGTGTATTTAAAAGAAATTGAAATAATAAAACAAAATAAAGAGAAAAAAGTGATATATTGGAAAGATAAGAAGAAAAGAAAAGAAACCCAAAACATGTGTCCTATATAATCTCTTGAAGTAGATTTTTACTTTCTTTAAATTACAGGAGAATTTTGTTAGATGTTTATAAATTTTTAAAAAATATTAGTAACATACTCTTTATTATATTTTTTTATAATATATTTTATTATTAGTTAAAATTTATTAACAATTACAAAAATTATGTGAATCTCTTTTAAATTAATTTTTTATATTTTAATTTTTAATAAATTTTAATTAATAATAAAAAATATATTACTAACATTGCTTTAAATTTAAACGTCTTTCATATGATTACGTGTGAGCTTATTGGCAATCTGCTAATCGCATATATAATATTATTATGAGATAGATAGATTAACTTTTTCATTGCCCTTTTAGTAACTTCTTATGTCAAATTTGAAGGTTATATATATATATATATATATATATATATATAAGATAGATGTAGTTGTGAATAACATGAGGTAAGTGAGAGAGAAAAACCAAAAACTGAAAAAAAAAATGTGAGTGCTGAGATCAGGCATAAAAAGAAAATATCCAGCCTATGCCCTATAGAGAAGAAAAAATGTGTTCAGTTAGTTTATCAGAATTTTAAGACATTAGTTAAAAAAAAGTCATAAAAATTTGTTATTTTTTATTTATTTTTAATAATTTATATATTTATTAGAATAAATATAATTATTTTGTTATTGAATTATTTCAATTTGTTGTTTAAGAGAAAGTTATTTTTTTAACTTTTATAAAAAGGAAAATTTTATTTCTATTATTTTAGGTGTATTTGATTATTTTATATTTTAATATATCTTAATTATCTTTCTTTTTGTTAATTTTTTATATATTTTTGAAATCAACTTTTATTTTGTACTATAACAAATTTTATTAACTTCATATTATTAATAACTAAATATATCAATATTTTTAAATAATTTTGATATTATTTCATGCATATATCGAGATTTATTTGTGTACTTGCTTAATTTCTAAAAATTTTATAATAGTAAATCATATTACAATTCTCAGTATTTTAAAATTGAATTTTATGGACAAAATTGAAGATTCACAGAAAAAAGAAAAAGCCCTCAGCTAAGTATTCCACATTGAATAGTGATTGAAACAGCAACAATCGGTAAAAGAATCAATTGCCAAATTCTAGATTCATATGACTTGCCTTCCACTGGATCTTTTTAAAGAATGTCAATGATTATAACATCAACTGAAAATCCATATTAATTTCCCCTCCACAGTTACCGGACTTATTGCCAAGCTTCGTAATAATTAGTAAATATAGCAAAATGCTCAGCAAAGTAATGACTGTGATATTTCCTTTGGCTCAAATTGGAAAAAGAAAATAAACACCATATGTAAACTAGCTTGAAGCACCAAAGAACTACTTAATGAGTATCAAGCAAAAGATATTTAATATATATCTTGTTATATGCTTCATGATAATAACTTGATTCATCACCCCTTGTGTGTCAATACATCGAGAGAAGAAGACTGGGGTTCCATCACCCTAACGCTCATGAGTTTCCTCTTCTTGTAGTTAGCCTTAAAACAAGCTTGTCTAAGCCTTCTTGTATTATCTTCAAGTTGCAAATCTGGCATTTCCTCCACCATCTTCTTTTCTTTCTCCAATATCTCAATTGCATTCCTTATTTTTTCACAACTTTCATGTCCCTCCACTCCTTGGTCCTGCATGACCAAGCCAAATGAAAATAATAATAATAATAATAATAATAATAAAAGCTTCAAGTCTATAATCGACATATATAAATCATATTCCAATTGTTAGGCATTGTCTATTGGTAATTGACACAGTAAGAACGTACTTGAATATTCTTTATGAGGGTTTGAAGGCTCATTAGCTTCCTGTGTGGCCACCTCTGAATTCCTAACTCCCTGCATCTCTTTTTCAAATGTGTGAGGCCCACATTAAGCTCTTTTGCTGCTTGTGATATGGGCATGTAAAAGTATTGAGAAACGGTGTTCCTTGATAACGTTATGGGACTCATGCTTTTGTCTTCTCTGCATGGCTTACTCTTCAAATCTTCCCTCATTTCCTTCACAGTTTCTCCATTGTTGCAAAATGAAAATGCGGGTGTATCTGAATCAAGCCCCGGATCAAGTTCGTTCCACACAGAGTCATAGTCTGCAATACAAATTTAAATAAACTATATCAAAAAAGGGCAAATGCAATAAATAATATGTACCATGAAGACTTAACGATAAAGAAACTCATATAAATTAATTGATAACCTTGTATGTTTAGTGGTGTTGGTTCAGTTGGCATAGTTTCATATAAAATGTCAGGATAATTGTTCTCCATAAAAGGAATAGCATCATGATTGTTATACTGCATGGGAAATTCGTATGACCAACTATACCAATCATTAGCATAATCCCTGGAGAAAAGATGTTATAATGAGAAATTTGAAACCTTCCCAAATGACTTGTTACAGAAAATTAAAGGTAAGAAGTGGCACTAGTTGTTTTACCTGTAACAATCATATGAAGAGAATTGGCACGTTTGTGCAAATGGATTTTCATAAATTTCGTAGTTAGACTTCCAAAACGAGTTTTGCTGACTCTCCATGTCTACTTTGACAGCTTAGTGTGAAATCACCAAAGAAATTGGCAATATATATCCCAAAGAAGAAATTTTATGATGAATTTATTCAAGTAGTGAGGTAATTATCATTTGGAGAATGCGAGCGCCGCATGTTTTATTGTTTAACGTGTGCGCTACTGTAAGTTACAAGATGAATTCAATTACCAGGATACCCTATTCATTACATAATTTAATTCTATAATACTACGTAATTAATTATTCACATTTGTTAAATTTCATTTTTCATCTATATAAATTGATAATTTAAGAAAAAAAAATATTTATGTTTATATATAAGTATATACTTCTTTCTATTTTTAAATCTGCCTACTTTTCAAAGAGAATTTTATTTTTATTTATATTTTCATTTAAAATATTAAAAAAATATTAATTATTCACATTTAAATTATAAATTTATCTTTAATTTTTAAACGCTGCCCAATGCATGTATTAGTTATTTTCTTTAATCCATATGTTACCTTCATAATGGACAAATGAAAAAGAAATTAAACAAATAATTTTGTATTAAAATGAACAATGTTTTTAAAAAAATTAAAATTGGTATTTTTTAAGATTCATTAATATTTCACTCGGAAATCTCAATAACAGTAATTGTTTATTAATTGGTGCAGCCCTCGTTTTTATCACTTTCTAAGAGAGAGATATTGAGAATTAATAATTATTATCCACTAATATATATGATTGAAACTCTAATCTAATGATAGATAAGATTCTTCAACCTAACCCTACCCTCATTGTAAGTAGTAATTAAAAATCAGAAAGATCCTTCTACATGTATCACTCAGCTTGATATCCAATATAGTTGGAACTTGGGAATTACTGACATAGTATATCCACTAGCCACATATTAAGTATGCATCCAATTATGTAGGGTTCTGTTCATCACTATCTTAAGAATAATGTAAAAATATAATTTTTTGAAAATTACAGTAAAAATATATTAATAATAATAAAAATTATGCTTTAAAATAAAACCTTTTTTTATTAGTTAATCATTTTCCTTAAAAAAATAATTATCAAACGAATTGCTCTAAAATGTTGATTGACTGCATCCCAATTATTACTAACATTGGAGAAAAGTAGATAAAATACGGCTACTTAATCCTTTTTTTTCCGATCATATTTCATACGGCTAATTAATTTCTGCGTTTAATTTCAAGATTCAACTGAAACCCAAGGAAATGGAATTGAACTTTTTATTTCCATGGTGATGTGTAACGTAACGGACGCATCAACTAATTCTCTATAATCACTATTAAATTTCAGTTTTAAAGATCATGATGTGAATCCTCAGTTCATAATTTAATGTTTTACATTTGAAGAAATTAATTGAATAATTATATCCCTTTAATACGAAAGAACTCTGTAATGTAAAACATTTACTTCCGATACATTTACTTAGTGTAACATCCGTTTTGTTTATAGTATTTTTAAAATGCAATTATTTTTAGTTAAGAGATATGTTTTGAAAGAATTGAATATTAACTATGTAAATTTATTCAAAAATAAAAACGAAGAGTAAGTTATTTTAGTGTTTTTTAATTCTTCAAATTAAAAAAAAAAGGTAAAGTTGATCTTACCGTTATAAGCTTTTTTTGCCTTATTAGAGTTAGTTTTTAAAAAAATTACTTAAATAGGATAAAGTAAAAATAATTATCCTATCTAAGGTGCCGAATGACAAGTGGTAAGAGTGTCGTCCTTTCTTTGAACAATATTTATTATTTTATATTAAAAATTTGCAAGTGTAGTCTATTTTAGTATTGACACTTACAATGACATGACAATTTTGCACTGTGTCAACTTACATAGGGACAAAACTAACTTGCAGATGATACATGTTATGCAACGAAACTTGTGTAGTCCATAATTGGGACAATTTTTGTGTCCTCTGGGTCAGGGCTGATTTTAATGTCATCCATCTCAAAGACGACTCAAATGTTGTCCAAATAGGGACCATTTTCGTGTGACTTCCAGTTCTCCATTTCTTTCACTAGATAAAAATGTTGATATATTCTTTTGTCTAATTTTGGACCTTATAAACACCTAACAAAATTTACAATGACAACCATGAAAGTGGTGGAAGAGAGAAATCCAGGTTAGGTTAAACTTTATATTTATATTTTTTTTTCATTAGCATAATATAATTCATAAGTTTATTTTATATTAAATAACTTATTTATTTAAGAATAAATAATATATATATATATTCTGAGTGTTACAATTTTAATTATTTTATTTGATTTTTTATATTAAAAATTATTTATTATTTGTAGATAAAATATTTTTTGTGTGTAAAAGCAGGATGTATATCTTAAGTTGTTGATAACTTAATTATTTCTAATAATATGTAATTGGTTATAAATTATTTGAATACTATTCTTTAAATTAAAGTTGGAATATATAATGAAAATTTTTCGTAATAAGTGCTGAGACCTAAATAAAGGGTTATAGATTTTATAAAATGTTATGTTTGAAAATAGTAAATATAAAATGTAATGTAAAAATTAGTAGTTTAAATTTTTGTAATTACAAATTAATTTTTGATTTAATTGTTTTAATAATAAATATAAAATCATTGTATTATAAATTAATTTATGATAACCAATTATTTTGAATGTAACATGAATAAAATTGTGATTATATTATATTTAAATGGTATAATGTATGAAGGAAATGAGAGAATAACTCTCAAATGGGAGAAAAAGATTATTAAGATAGAATATGTTGAAATTAACTCCTCCTCCATTGCTAGCAAGTATAAAATGACTCCTCCTCACTTTTAAATTCTCACCTTTAAAACCAGGTTACATCCATTCTAAATATACTCGAATACGTAAATAAATTGATAATGCAATAATGAACTATTTCTGGAGCTTAAATTTAAAATCTTACTATACAATGAAGATGATGTCATCTAAAATAAAATTTTAAACTATGATGATTAATTTTTATTTTTAATTTAATAATTCTTATTCAATAATAACTTTGTTTCTTAAAAATTATAAATTTAATTTTAAATATGTAATATTTTAAATAAATCTGATGAAAAAATTGTTATGTTTTTATAATTATTTTTTTATGAAGATAATCTTTTTTTATCTATCTATAATTATTATATTATTTTTCATATTTTACATTTCTTATTATATAACTGTATATGTAGTTTTTTATCAATAATTTTTTTATAAAATATCCTATTTACTCCTTTTCAATAACAATTAAAAATTATTTCTACTACGTTTAATATTATTGTTTCACAAATATTTTTTAAATTTGTTAATCTACCATCGAAATACAAAATTTATTATTTCTCCTACATTAAATATTTATTATTTCTACTGCATTTCATTTTTTTTTTCATTAACATGTTTTTCAATAACAATTTATTTTATTATTTAATGTTTATAATTATTAAATTTAATTCAGTTAATTTTAAATTAATGCATCCTTTAAACCAACAAATTATAAACAATAAAAACTATATCATTCAATTTCTAAAAAAAATTAAGCTGATATTTTAATTTATACAAGCACTAAATCTATATAATATATATTCTATAAAAAATAAAATTAAAAAAATGCACCTCCATCAAGCTTGGTCTAGGAATCTCTCCTTTCCTGCTTTATATTTTTTGTAATGTCAAGAACACGGCGTCTCCTCGCCACAAAAGCCTCACTTGGACTAACATTTCAACATTAGATACATGCGGTCCAAACAAAAAGCACATTTAAGTTAAAATATATTTACATTATTATTTCTTTTACCTTTTACAATGTCACAAAAATGATTTAACCAGAAAAATTGAATACCAAAATCTGTAATATGTTGTTTTTTTTTTGTCAGCAACACAACTAAAGGGAAAATTGTAAAGAAGACCAACGGAGAAGGAGGAGAAAGAAGAAAAAGGTAGTCGCGCTGTGTAATCATTTGGCTTATTGCTAAATGAACCAATTAAAAGAGTGTTGTCTCTTATTACACTGACACCACTTGTCCGACTCTCTAAGATCGATTTAGCCATATGTTCTCTATCTTCCCTTAACTATGGATGAATTTTGAATCTTTTTAAATTTTTTTTCTATTTTTACGATACACACGTGTCACAAAAATACAAACATCGTCTTTATTTTAGACAATTCTTTATTTTAGTGTTTAACTATTTTGGACGACACTCTTGTCACTTGTCATTCCCCACCCTAGATAGGAAAATTATTTTTGTAAAACTCTGATCAAGTATTTTTTTAAGTCAACCCTAGTTAAGCAAAATAAAACCACTGTTATATTTTATTTTAAGTTCTAAAATTTTTACTTTTTTAACTCAACATCTTTACAGATGAAGCAATTAAATTAAACTTCCTAGCAAAAATTTACCAATCAGAATATCAAATTTCTCTCAAAGTAAAAGATAATATATATATATAATTATTTCCTCTTCAAACTCTTATTTATATCTTATAAAATCCTTTAAATTTTTAATTTATAAAGTTTTAAATTTATTTAGCTAAATTTTAATTTTAAAAAAAATTAGTATTTTAATTATTTAAAAAAAATTGCTTTACTTTTATTTTTATTTCATATTGATAGTTTAATTTTTAAACATCAATCCACAAATTCTTTTCATTAACTAGCATGTGGAGGGGGATTCACAATGGTGGTTGGAGGATGATGATTCTCATGGCAGCGGGGTACAAGTTAGGAGAACAAGGTGACGATGCAGTATGGCTCTAGTTTGATAGTGATTCAATGTTTCAAAGATACACACATGATGAACGAACCGGAAGCGGCAATATCAGAGCGATGGTTGATGACCCATGTCGTCACTGCAGCAATTTTGCTTGATGTGGTTGGGTCACAAGTAACATCAGGGTTATGTTATGGTGGTGGCTAAGTACTACTAGTCAATGGCTGGTTGGGTTTTTTATTGCTCTTATGGTAATCGAATGCATAAGGTGGTGGTAATTGTTGTTAAAACATGAAGTTTAGTTCTTTGGTTAGCTGGAAGGAAGGTGTTGCGAAGAAAGAGTGTTTCTATGTGTGAGTTTTTTATCTTTTTTTTTTTGGTCTATAATCATGAGTTTAGAATTAACCAGAAGCTAACGGTACTCTCAAGAGTAATCAAACCATCCTAAAAGGATATTTTACTGCTACATAATAAAACATTACAAATTAAAACATTCTAGCAAAAAATGTCAAACTAATTAACAAAAACAAAAGAAAAAATCACAGCTTTAGAGCTCTGACTATCTTCTCTAAAATATAAGTGTTAACTCATTTTCTTCTTTACATTGTTTTTGTTTTCTTGACCTAAGCAGTTCTTCTTTAGGTTGTGTTTCAAATGCATTCAAGTATGATTTAGGCCCTTAATTTGCCACATGAGAACTGAAAATCAAAGATATGAAAAACAAAAAGCCAAAGACAAAAGAGCTGAACATGAGGAGAAGAGGAGACAAAGATGCTAAGGCGAGGGAGGTGCATGGTGGGAGGAATAAAGGGAGTGAGCAGAGGAAGAAATGAAACACATAAGAAAGGAAAGGTGAGCAGAGGCAAGAAAAATCAAAGACAAAGATAAGAAAATGAAGCAAGGAAGTACGTGAAGGTAGAAGAAAGAATGTGAAGGAGAAAAAGAAAAGACTGTCACCAAAGAGAGAAGCTCCCATCTAAGAGAGAAAGAAGCCCACCAAAAATGGGCAGAGAACCCTACGATGTAGGGAGAGAAGACTCCCATGAGAGGTGGGTGGCTCTCAATATTATATTTTGATATAATATTTTTATTTAAGATTTATTATCGTTATGCTTCTTTAATAATTTTTTAACTCACCAAAGATCAATAGATCCTAACAAAAGAGCTATGCAGGGAAAAAATTGAAGAATAAATAAATAACAACTTAAAAATAAAGAGTAAATGAATATTAATTAGAATTTATTGAAATTAAGCGTTAAATTTGTACATTTATGTTATTTAATTATTTTTTATAAAATAAAAGATTAATCAATTAAAATTTTTTATTCAGTAAATTAACTTTATAAATTTTCATTAAAAAATAAAATTATTAAATACTTTGTCGCGTTACTTTATTTTAATAGATAATATATTTTTAAAATATAAATAAATATTAAATTTTGAATAATGTATTTATAAATCTTTAAATTACATAAAATTTAATATATATATATATATATATATATATATAAAATAAAAGATAATATAAGATGATTTAAATTAAATTGATTAATTTTATATTGTATAAAAAGTTATTAAATAATATAATCATTTAAATTTAACACATGTATCAACTATCTCACATTTTAATTTCACTATAACATATTATAATATTTGATTTAGTAAATGATAATATTATTTATATTCTTATTTATAAAAAAATAACTATCAATATTTGGTTGTCCTCTAAAATATTAATAAGAAATACTTTTTTAAATATATTAATTGTTAAGTTGTTTTATACTTTTGAATATTATAAAATTTGTGTTATAGATGTGTCTACTATTCATTTATCAAAATAAATTTATTCATTTAATATATAACCCATTAATTTAAGTTTATTCTAAGTTTTTAACAAATTCTTTTGCATAATTAGTATTGACATGAAACTTATATCATTGTCAATTTAAACACATTTTTTTAAAAAGAAAGTAAATTAATCTTATAAGAATTACTTTAGTTTCTAATTATATAAAAATCTTATTTTAGTCTATAATTTAAAAAAAAATCACTTATTTTAAACCTTTATTCATTACTTTTACTACATAAAATCATATAGAGTTTAGTATCCTCTCTTAAACTATTTTTTATAATAGAATCAGTAATTTAGTTAAAAAAGATATTAATACTCTCTAACTTTTTAAAATTTAAAGGAATCACGACAATTAATCTAAAAGTATAAAATACTCTGTGAAGTTTACTAAGCATCTTTAATTATCATATAATATAATAAAAAAATTAAGAAGTCATTTTGCAAAGACAAAGATTAAAGTAAATTTTTTGTAAAATTAACTATTAAAATATCTATATTTGCAGTTCGAAAGACTAAAATTGTAGAAGTTCAATTTTAAACCACCAATCATTTCGTTGACATTGTAGAAGTTCAACACCAAAGTAAGGTGTTATAACAATGCCAAAATTGTACAAGATTGAAACTTAAAAGTCTACTAATACGTCTCAGCCAAATTAGCTAAGAGTAGTTCAAGACTCTACTCATTATTATCACAATGAACTTGGTTCATGAATCAAATAAACTAAACCAAAGCTTAAAATTGACCGAACTTGATCCAAGTAGTACTCAACTCATTTAGTTCATGAACTAGTTTGATCAACATATATCTTAACACAACATTTATTTATATTTGCAATAGTAAAATCAATTAGTTGAATTGAGTTTCTAACCAATCTAATGAACCAAATACATAAACTAACTTAATTCATTTGTTTCATAGTCTCATTTTGACATTTGGTTCATGTGATTCAAAGAGCTCTACCAAACAATTTATGAACTTGATTCGAGCCAAGTTCAAGCTATTCAAAGTTCGAGTCAAGTTTTAAACAAAACCATTTCTTATCATGCAAGACAAACTAATTCATTATAGCTAAGTTTGGCTCAGTTCGTTTCAAGCCATAATCAAAATGAGTCATGGTATAACCCAAATAGTTCACAAATTATAAATAACATCAAAATCTGAATTATAAAGTTATTAGCTGGAAACATGCCAACCAAATATACAAAAAACATTTTAAATCTCAGAATAAAACTCATACCTGCAGCAACTACTGTATTTAATGTCTCCACCTTCCACCTTTCCCATGACCATGCCCGCCTCCTCTTCCACTCTTCCCTCTGCCACCCTTTCCTCCATAATGCTTTCCTCCACCACCACTTAATGCCCTGTTCGCATCAGATTTCAAATGCATCTCTTCTGGTAAGGGAAGAATATGATCCACACACTTTCTGAAGCTAAAATCATCAACAGAGCCATCCTCCCTGATGAGGAAAAAGCACATGCTTTTGAAGGTAGGATGCTTGCGGATTTGGAAAGCACGAATATCTCCACCAATCTTTTTTTCAGGCTCTGCATGGCCTTTCTTAAGCAATTCCAACAACATGATATATTCATACTGACACACAAAACATGTCAACAAGGATTCAGTAAGAAGTCAACACAGGTTGTAGCTACTGCAACACCATGATATATTAACCAAGAAGTGAGAACAACATACTAAAACAGAACTGTGTTAAATCCCAATTTAAAGATTTAGTGGCCCCAAGCAATGTGTTTCATACAGTTCAATGCTTCAATCGTGACATTCAATATGCAGTGAAATTGAGTTGTCAGATCTAAGTTGGTGGAACCAAAATGTGAATTGAAAACCCATGCATTAAAACAGTTAAGGTCTTAAGGAAACTGACCCGTTTGATTTTGTTCAAGTTTTTTCTTTAAATTGTTTAATAAAATTATTTTAGAGAATTGTTTTGTAAAACAAATTAAAAACTGATGTGAGTACAATATAGTTACAGTTTGTATAGAAGTAGGGGGAGAAGAAAACGGAGTCAGGTTTGTATAGAAGTAGGGGGAGAAGAAAACGGAGTCAGGTTCTCCATATTTTAGTCTCTTTTTAAAACAAGAATAAAAAAAACATTACAAAGTTGTTAATAGAGTGATTAAGAAACACATCATCAAATAATTTATTTGTTTTATTCTTTTTCAAAATTAGAAATTGTTTTTAAAAACAGTTATCAAACAGGGCCTACATTACTTATAGTAACTCCGAAGATGGCTAGTGCATGTTTTGCTTGCAACAAGGCATGCATATTGCACATGGAAGCTAAACTGAATAGGGGACCCAAATTATACAGCCACGGCAATATCACTCTGTATTCAAAACTGCTTCAGTTTCTTGAAACTAGAGAGAAAACTTTGAGGCTCCAGAAGACACAACTTAAGAACCAATAGCTATCAGCGAAACCAGTGCAAGGGTAAGTCAAATCAATGAAAAACCAACATAAACACAACATGTGCACAATGCTATCCATAAGAGTAGAAAGGCCTTGCTTGCAGTTGAATATTCCAGAAATGCCAACAAATATACCCAGTAAACACAACAAGAACAACATCAACAGAAACAGAAGCCAGGAAACACCACAAGGGTTACCACATGTCAACAATGCTTAGATGGAAAAAGTAAATACATGTCAAAAGTGGCGGGACTATATATAATGGAAGGGTTTGTTTTCTGGACATTATTAGTTTATGAAATCATAATAATAGAGAATCAAATATCAATCCGCGTGACGTCCTAGAAACTATTAAACAAAGTAACAAATTCAATTAATTAAAAGGAATCACGCTGGGCATTAATAGAAATGAAACGCACCTTGTTAACATTGAGATATTGAGGCCAAGCATGAAGAAAGTTGTAGAAGTAATTGAACATCTCCGTGGAAGACCCAAAGCTCTTGGGTCCCAACTTCACAGAATCACACTCTTCCTTCCCTTCTTCTTCCTTTAATTTTTCTTCTTCGGTTTGCTCCAGTTTCTCTAATCGTTGTTCTTCCACTGACTTGTCGTCATCGACCTTCTGCTTCTTCGAAACGTCGTCGTCGTGGGAATCCTCTTCCTCCCTGGCACGCTTCGGGTTGGGATCGGCGCCGTTTTCGGCAGACTCGACGTCCATGTCAACGGTGGCGACGGGAGTGTTGGGATCAATGACCTCCGGTGCGGCCTCTTCAGCCATGGGTGGAAGACTAGGGTTTTGCGTGAATTCTAAAACCCTGGATTATGATTGAGGGTCGTGGCTTCAGAGTTGGGGGGACACTAACACTTGTAATGTGTGGGTTCCGGGTGAGACGTGGGGTCGTGTGTGGTTGTGGCGCGGTGTATTTCTAATTTTCACTCTATGGAGTTGCTTTTTTTTTTTTTGTTTTCCTTTTGGGCCCAATTGAAATCTTGCATAGTGTGGCCTGTATAGCTCCTCTGGCTCTATTTCATAATTTATTTATTTCTTATCGCAAGCTTTGTTATATTTTTTATATTTTTATTAACCTGTCTTAAGAAAAATAAATTTATTTATTTATTAACCTAAATTTTAAAATAATATACATATTTATTTTTTTAATATATTTTTATTTATATAAAATATTTATTTTATTGATTTATTTAAGGATAAAAAATTATTAATAAAAGATAAATGAATAAATTTAGCAAATAATTTTAATACAAACTAAAAAAATTAATTTTTTATTTTAGTTTTTATGTCTAGACATATAACTAATAGGTGTTGTCTATCATAAGTAGTGAGCAGTGTGGTGGACAGATGAGTTAAAATTTTGACTAATAATAGCATGTTTTCAAAGTTTTTATTTTTTCTTCAAGTCCTTAAAATATTTTAGATTACTAAAACATAAAAGTTTTATGTTAACAGAAGTACGTGGCATACTTGAAGCTAAACTTTTCATTCATGGCTCCGCTTGGGGTGGACCTACGAAGTTTTGGTGCATCATCGATGGACTAATCGACAACATGGCATTGATATAATATGAAAAACTAATAAACAACAATCAAAGTTTTAAAATTTGTAAGAAAGTTCTTAAGGGAAACCAATGAAAAACAATAAGGACATATAATTTATTATTGTTAATAATATAAGTGATTTTTATTTTGCAAGTTAGTTCTTGTATTAAATTCTGAAAAAAAAAAGTAAAAATTATAGATCAAGATATTCTTGTATTGTTGGAAGAAAGAGTGACAGAACATGGAAAAATATACTTTGATTTCGAGGATAAGAAAACCTTTAAATTATTAATTAAGAGAAAATTAATATGCAAATTCATTTTTTTTATTTCTTTAAATCCATGTACTTATACCATAATTATTCTTACTAATAGAAGATAAATAAAAAGCATAATAAAAAAAGATAACCAAAAAGTTAAAAATAAAAGACATAGCAGTTGTATCAAACTTTGTGACTTGACCAGAGTTCCTATCATCACCTTCTTCTATGGCCATTACCTTGTCCTTAAAGTGAAAGGAAGCACAATAAGGTCCCACTTTTTCCTAATGGTGTCATTAAGGGGGAGACCAAGTCATTGAACTAGCACTATCTTAGTAGGAGGGTTAGTGGAGTTGTCCCATTTAGAATCGAGGATGGAATCGCAAATGGTTGATTGTTAATTGCTTAGTGGTGGGAGACTAGTTAGACAATTGGATAAAAGGACTTGGTGGGGTTTCGATATTGAACAATGAAACAGGGTGGATTTTGGAGGTGGGGATAATAGTAGTTTATAGGCAATAGTCCCAAAACGTTCAATGACTTGGAAAGGACCATAGAATCGCTTAGATAGTTAATAGTGGGAGGTGCCAGAGGCAAAAAGTTGACAAAATAGTTTGAGCTTCACATAGATTCAATCTCCGACCGAGTACTAGACATTCCTTCTCTTAGCATCAGTAAAATGTTTCATGTTGGCTTGTGCTTTAGACGGTTGTCGAAGCAAGGTGGCATGGATGGATGCATAGGTCGATAAGAGGAAATATACAACATTCACGTTGGGGAAGCCTTGTATGTAATGTGAAATAGTGGGTGGAGGTTTGTCATAGATGACTTCATAAAGAGCGAGGCATGTGCCAAAGTGAATAGAAGTGTTGTAACATCATTCAACTAAAGCGAGAAACTTGGTCTATTGAGATGGTTTGTCATGGACAAAGGAGTGCAAATATTGCTTTAGGACACAATTAATAACTTCAGTCTAGCCATCAGTATGAGGACCTTTTTTTCATTGATTAATATCCCAAAGCATTGTGGAGTGTTACCCCTAATACATGGACCTTAGAAATTGGAAATTGTAGTTGGTTGATCAGTTGTATAGCAGAATGAAATCTGACAGTTTTGTTTCTTGTTCTCAGGATGTACCTTTCTCGTTATATTTATACTCTTTCTCTCTCTCTTTCTCTCTCTTGTAAACAGGTTTATCATTAGCACAATACAACATATGCAACTGCAAATTGGGAAGTCAATGTTGACTGGAAGTGTTCTTCATTGATAAAAATAATATACAAAATTTACATTTTATATGACATCCTTAATCTATTTTGAAGATAGAATAAATTCATCTAACATGTTTTAAAACTTATGAGCTTTGGTCTTTTATTATTATGACTTATGAGCTCACTATTGGTGAGGGACATTCATTGCAAACCAGCCTAATTTATAAACTGCTATTCAAATGCAAGACTTGTATGCCATTTCTTGATATAAACTTCTCTTATGAACATCTTGGAGACATAAAGCTATGGGAAATTAATCAATAATTTCCATCTTCAAAGACATTATTAGAATGTGGTACTATTAGCATGCTCACTAAAGTTCAAAAATGACATGACTGTGTTCAAAATAATAATTAAAAATAAAATGTTACAAAGTTAAAAAGTTGTGAGTAAATGTAAATTATTATGAGTTAAAGATCATAATTCTTTAGTTAAGGACAACTTGAGATTTATAGAGCAATTATTCTTCGATGTAAGTTAAAGGTTGTAATATCACTATTATAAATAGTGAATTATACTCATTTATTTGGTGAGTGATAATATAATAAAATTCTCCTATTATTATAATTCTTCTCTTTTATTTCTAACAAAGTGATATCAAGAGCTTAGTTCAATCTTGAGAATTCAGAGAAACACTTTGAGAGTTGAGAAATGACAAATAATGCCCTAAATTTATTTCAATTTTCACGTCTCACTAGAAGAAATTATAAAAATTGGTGTCAATGCATGAAGGTCTTACTAGGATCTCAAGATGCTAGGGAGATTGTAAAGAAATGTTATAATAAGCCTCAAGATTAGGCTATTTTGTCACAAAATGAGAAAGACACTTTGATGAAACAAAAGAAAAAAGATCAACAAGCACTTGCATTTATCCATCAAGGCTTAGATTAAGCCATGTTTGAGGTAGTGTCTAATGCAACCACCTCTAAAGAAGCTTAAGAGATTTTGACAACAAATCTTGAAGGGGTTGACAAGGTCAAAAAGGTGCGTTTACAAACTCTATGAAAGGAGTTTGAATCATTGCGTATGAAGGAATCTAAGCCTATTTTAAATTTTGGTAATAGAGTAATGGTTATTATAAAGTAAATGAAACGATATGGAGAAAAGGTGAAAGATGTTCGCTTAGTAGAAAAAATACTTCGCTCATTAACCACAAAGTTTGACTATTATTGAAGGATGAGTCAAAAGATTTAGACTCGATGTCTGTTGATGGGTTCACTTCAAGCCTATAAAACTAAATATAATCAAAGACAAGAAGAGTCTTTGCAGTAAGTCCTTAAAACTAAAGTCTCTTTGAAAGAAAGTGGAGGAGAAAAAAAATAACAAGGACGTGAACGTGAACGTGCAATAGGACATGGTTGTGGTCAAGGAAGAGGAAGAAGAGGAGGAAAATGAGATCATGATAATTCTCACAATTATAAAGATAATTATCAACCCACCAGAGGTCATGGAAGAAGAAGTGACAAAGGCAATTTTGGTAGGACAAATGAAAAGAGGTATGATAAATCTAATGTTAAATGTTTCAATTGCCACAAATATAGTCATTACTCTTTGGAGTGTAGAACAAATGCTAAAGATAAGGCCAACCTTATTGGAAGAAATAAGAAGATGAAGAGACAACATTATTACTAGAACCTAACAATAAAGAGAAAGGTGACAAATGCTTATAGTATCTTGACAATGAAGTTAGTAATAACATGTGCGATTACAAGAAAAAGTCTGTAGAGTTTAATGATAAGGTGAAAGGAAATGTTTTGATAAATCCATATTTTATTAGTATTTTAGTCAACTTTATAGCATGTTTCTGATAACAAAGTAATATGAGAAAGCCAAAAATCCCATAAAAATGTGAAGTATTTAATTTAATTCAGTTCTTATGAAATAATTCAAATTGTTTTGATTTTTTTGTAGATCCTTTGTGAAATGTTGCTGATTGAAATAAGTTTTGTAGGAAGTTCTAAGCTAAGAGTCTTGAGGATAAGGTTTTCAGAAGAGAAATTGGACAAAAGTGGCAACTCTAGACACAGAGTGGAAAAATAAAGGATAAGTGTTGGGCGTAGCTACTATTTGCAAGAAAAGTGACTACTTTTACATGGCATTATCACTATTTTCATAAATAGTGATTGTTCTAGAACCTGTGATAAAGAAGAAAGTTAGGCGTCAATATTTTCTACATAAAAAGGTAGTAACGCAGAAGAATGAAGTTATGTGTGTTCACTATTTTCACAAATAGTAGCCACGCGCAAGTCTGGGTAAAGAGATGAAGCTGCAAGTGGCTACTTTCCTTGCCAATAGTGGTAACCCGCATTGTAGCATCTTAAATTTAATTTCAATTAAATAATAATTTTGCAAATCGGATAACCAAATTTTCATAAAAGATTTCAAAATAAGTGAAGGGTTACAAATTAATATTAGATAACTGCTACAGGACTAGTTCGATTACAACAATTTCAAAATAAAATCTAAGTCAAATAGCAGTTTATCCATTCCTTCGCTGAGTCCGATGTTGATCGTCTTGATTACCTAAAAAATGAATGTAAGGGTGAGCACTCTACACTACCCAAAACATATAGTCAACATAGAGTCTCACATCCAGCACATTTCCAATCTATTAGACAAATACAATCACATATAACATTTCACATATATAAGTACAATACACAAACTCGTGCATACGCACACCAGTCACACTTACTGTGGCACTGTGATCACAAATTTTCACTATGAATGGTCGCCGGTTACCCTCGTCTCACGGATACCACGTGGGCAGTCACGGGTCGCTCAGCAAAGGTAATGGTCAGAGGTCTAGTCAGGAAGAGAGT